AGATCACTTATTAGTCTCCTTCTGTTTTAGTAAAATGTCCAGTATCTGCAGTCAGAATTATTCCTGGAATCTGGGTTGGAAAAAATCTGAAGGGTTGTGGTATTTGTGGAGGTGGTTAAAAAATGGATAGCCTGTCTAGCAGCAGCCCAGAAAAGAGGGTAGCAGAACTCAAGATGCTTTGCTGGGTGAGCTAAAATGAAGCAGAACTACAGGATTTTCTTAGAAGCCACCAACAATAGATGGTATTAATGCTAATTCTGAGGATGACAGGTAAATAGACATAATTATATGTATATGTGTTTTTGCATACATATACTAAACCGAGTCAATCCTGACTCATAGAAACCCTGTAGGATAGAACAGACTGCTTCTTAGAGTTTCTGAAGCTGTAAATCTTTACAGAACAAGATAGCCTCCCTCATCTTTCTTCCTTAGAGCATCTAGTGGGTTTGAACTGCTGACATCCCATTAGCAGCCGAACACATTAGCCCACTAAAAGCCACCAGGCTCCTTACTGAAGACATATAATATGTATTAAGATGATAGAATTTTTCCATGAACTTTTGAAACCCCTTCATATGTCTGAAATACATTTATCTACTAGTTATAGGATATACATAGTTAAATAAAAAAGTATTGCTACTAAGATTATAATTCATATAAACTCACTCTCACTATCATCATGTCAATTCTGACTCCTAGTAACCCTGTAAGGCTGGGCACAACTGCCCATGAGGTTAATTTTTACAGATTTATTTCACACAAAACATGTGTAAACATGTCTCTGAAAACCATGTATGACTGCAGATTAATTCTCCAATACACATGCCTCGATTTCTTTAGGGTGCCTTCCAAGTAAAGGTCCAATCAAAACAGTGGCTTCTCCGAGATCTGCTGGGCCAGTTAAATTCAAAGCAGACAGATGAGCTCGGAAAGTTATGCCAACTGTTTTTATGAATTACAAAGGAGTAATTTGGTAAGATTTTCTCAAAAACACAGGATGAAAACAAACACTTATGAAAAGTTTTAAGAAAAAATGGAAAGCTGATTTGGTGAGAAAAAGGGTAGGAAAGTTATACCGAGGAATTTTTTTTCCATCACAAAAATGCATCTGCTTATTTTTTGAGAGCAGTTCCATTCTGTCCTCCAGGGTCACGATGAGTCAGTCGGCATTAACTCAACAGCAGCGAGTTTTCTGAGTTGGCGAGGGCTAGGAGAATTTCATTGGGAAACCTTACCCCATTCATCTTACAGCCCCCTAATCTTGTCCTTTAGACTTCTGTTTCCCAAACTCAAACAACATTTAAATGGAGTTCTTCAAGAATACCAAAATGATGTTTTATATGATGTAAATCAAAGAGTGCAGAAATCTTCAGAAAAAGGTTAAAGATAAGGAAACATCACGTTTAGAAATCTGGAAATAGAGAATGTGTCAAGAAATAGTAACTCTACATTTCGAAAATTTTGTAATAAAGTTTGTATGAGTTTACAGCAGTAAATGTCAAAGATCTAGAAGCAGTAACATTCTAGTAGCAACAAGTACACCTAGTACCTGGATTTTGATTTCTAAATATTATTTTGCATTAAAAGGAACCAATAAAAGGGCTGGGCAAGGAAAACAGACTAGAGCCTAGATCTTGAACTAGAATTAGGGAAGTAATCAAGAATAATGGGGACATGTCAAAAGGGCACAGGAGCCACCTTTAAAGTACTCCCATTAGACAAGAGGGATAATTAATATCAGAATAACAGTGTAATTGTTTGATAAAGTAAGAACCCTTGAGTCTACACTGATAAATAAAAGATTTTTTAAAAAGGAAAGCATCACCTTACAGTAACAAATCCAGAAGCTATGATAGAATTAGAAAATCATAATTGACAACCATCATAGTAATAATTCAGCAAGAAGCACCAACAGATGCTGGTGGGTGGAAGTCTGATGAGAAATAAGATATTTATAATCTCAAAGTGTCTCCCCACAAAATACCTATTAATAAACACTATATCCCTTTTAATTAACTTCACAGTTGAGAAACCTGGCAGACACATCCTAACCATGTTATAAAAATGACTACCAGGGACTACCAGTGGAGGGATGAGTCATCATGAGGTGCCTCCTAAAATGCTGAAAGAGCACAGCATCACATCAGGAATATCAATGCCCAAAATGCACAAAACACACCTAAAACATTGGGGAAATTCAAGAAGAGGAACATTCTAAAAATGCCAGAGTCATAAAAGTTAGGGAAGGACTAAAAACAGTTCCACAATTCTATATTGAACGAGATTACGAAGATAAGACAACTTAATGCAACGTACAATCCTGGGTTGGACCTGGCAACTCCAGAGAACATTATTGGGACAAATGGTATAATTAGAATGGCATCTGAAAATTAGGTGGGATTAAGGAATCACTGTTAATTTTCTGATTGTGATGGTTATAATTGTGGAGAGCAATTGTATTTATGAAATACAGGTTCAAGGAGCCCTGGTGGTGCTGTCAGTTAAGCCCTTGACTGATAACCGCAAGGTCAGCAGTTCAAGCACACCAGCAACTCTGTAAGAGAAAGATGAACCTATCTACTGATCTACTATCTGCTCAAGATTTATAGCTTTGGAAACCCTATATAGGGTTCCCATAAGTCAGGTTAGACTCCATGACAGAGATGGATTCTGGTAGGCAGAATATTGGCCCCCTGAAAAAACAACAATGATGTCTATGTTCTAACGACTTGATTCTATGAATAATGTAGCCTTATGTGGTCAAGAAGAATTAAGGTTACAAATGAAATTAAGGTCGTCGACCAGCCAACCTAAGATCTGGAGTCTTCAGAATTACCCATATGAGGTCTCATAACTGAATGTGTATGTGTGTGTGTGTGGGGGGGGGCTCATGAAAAATTTGGTAACAGTAAAAGATTTCTGAACACACAACGAACAAAAATTAATTCAAAATCAGATGTGCAATGAATCCGAGGTGTTTCTGGTAGCACTTGCCCATGTTGCAAATTTCTCTGTGAAATGGAGTCAAGAATGGAAAGTTTAACAAGTCCTGCTATAGCTTGCAAAAATGAGCACAGTCCTGATATCATCTTGATTTTGGCCTAGTGAAGTCTGCCTCAGACTTCTAACCTTTAGACTATGGGAAATTAATACGGGAGTAATAGAAGTCACCTCTGCACTCTATTTTTAAAAAATTTGTTAACACCTATCTACCTTCTAGCCCAGGGGTCAGCAAACTACCACTGGCTAGTCATATGTGGCTCTTTTGGTATGTACACGTAGCTCTGAAGTAAAATTGAAAACATTTTAAAGGTATTATTCAGATAATGATTTCATTTATTTATAAAAATATATTTATGGCTCTCAAATAATTTTCAAATTGTTGCAAGAGGCAGCTTCTGCCTCAAGTCTGTCGACCCTGCCTCTTATTTCCCCTGTTCTTCCTACCCCTGGTAACCATTAAATTCTGTTCCTTTTGGTATGGAAACATTTTTCTTGTTTTATTTTTTTTCCATAACAGTGGTCTCCTAAATTTGTGCTTTTGTGATTAACTGCCTTCATTCAGCATAATATCAAGACCCATCCATGTCCCGAGGTGTTTCAGAGTTGATCATTACTCTTTAATAATGAATATATTTATGTATTCCATTATGTTTATGTATCAAAGTGTACTTTTCTCCCAACTATGGGCATTTAGGTTATTTCCATCTCATTGCTATTAGTTTGGTAGGGCATATACTAAGTGTCCCAGTTGCTGGGTCATATGGTATTTTGATTCCCAACTGTTTAACAAAGTGACATACTGCTTTCCACAGATGGTACACAGTCTCATAAGGGTTCCATTCTCTTCACACCCCCTCCAGCATGTGTTGTCTTCTGCATTTTGAACCTGCTATCAATCCTGGGGTGAGATGGTATCTCATCTTGTTTTGATTTGCATCTCTTAGATGACTGGTGATAGTGACATTTCTTCATGTTTGTTGGCACCTGAATGTCTTCTTGAGGTGTGACGTTTTGAGAAATTTGAGAAATTAATCCCTTGTCTCATATGCCATTGCCAAGTTTTTTCCCCAGTCTGCAGGTTTTCATTTTACTCTCTTGGGGAAAGCTTTTGATACACAGAATTGTTTATTCTGGGGAGGTCTTAGTAATCTATTTTGTCTTCTGCTGGGTATATGTTTTTCACTATATTTGATAGTGTGCTTATGGCAGTCCACACGTATTCTTAAATATGCTCACAAATGTTAACAACTGCAGACTACCCATAAAGATATACAGGAACTCTTATTTCTGTAACTTTTATGTAAATTTGAAATGGTTTCAAAATAATTTAATAAATGGGAAGTTACATTTTGATTTACTAGAATTTGCCAGATATCTTTCTAAGGCTATTGCTGTTGAGTAGATTTTGGTTCACGACAATCCCAAGAATGTAGGGTAGAACTCCTTCACAGGGCTTTCAAGGATGTGCCCCTTTTAAAAACAGACTGCCAGACCTGGCTTTTGATGTGCCTTTGGGTGGGTTTGAACATCCAACCTTTTGCTTAGTAGTTGAGACCTTAATGTTTGAACCACCTAGGGACATCCTTCTATGGCTGTAAAATAGAGTTAGATTTTTAAAAAATAAAAAAATGTTTTTATTTATAATAAAAGCCTGTGGCTATTTCATGTTTATATAATTTCTTCTTTTCTGAAGAGTTCACCTCATCTTTGTAGCTATCTGTATTTCAGTAGACTAAAAACCAAACCAAAATTCAAACCAATTGCTATATAAGTTCATCTGATAGTACCATTTCCATGGTAATGAACCTTTATGAAAGCAGACTGCCAGGCAGCTGGTAAGCTTGAACCCCCAACATTTCAGTTAGCCGTCAAAGGTTTACCACCAGGCCTCCTCAGCAGATAAAAAAGGAAGCGTAATACATTTGGAAGGCTAAGGACAATTCACCAGAACTTTCAACCTCCACCTCTAGAGTCCCTGACTCCATAGGTCTTACCTGTAAATAGTGATGTGGGGAGACAATGGACGGTTTGAGGCTGTGTTCTTACTCCAGAACCGCTCCATCTCTTCTTTGGCTGTGGTTCCCATAGGAACAACACTAAATAAACAGAAGATTTTAAGAACTTTACAGAAGATCTCAAGAAGATTAAAGATTTCAAGACCACTAAAAGTAAGCTTGGGGGCAAAAAATGAGGAGCTAATACCAAGGGCTCAAGTAGAAAGAAAATGTTTTGAAAATGATGATGGCAACATATATACAAGGTGCTTGACACAACTGATGTATGTATGGATTGTGATAAGAGCTGTAAGAGCCCCCAATAAAATTATTTCTTATAAATAAATCAATAAATTTTCAAATAGAAAAAAGTAAGCAAGTTTGGTTTAAATTTTCCCTAATAAAAAGTTTTTTTTAAAAAAGGTAAGCTCAAAAAAAAAAAGACATAAGAATAAAAATATATTCTTTCTGTGCAAAAAAAAAAAAGGTAAGCTCAGCTGGACCAACCCACTGCATTACGAAAAACATGCTCATCCAGCCTGCCTGTATCATTTTAAAAAACATATAATATAGTTTCTTGTGTTCCCTTGTCACTGGGCTAAGCTATAACCAATTGTTAAAAAGCCAGGTTCAACAATTTAAAATTTTAATTGTTTTGTTGTCACTGAAAATATACACATAGAGCATTCAACAATTTCCACATGTACAGTTCACTAACAGTGACTACACGCCTTTAGTTGTACAACCATTCTCACCAAGTTGTCCCTCCGCCATTAATATACATGCACTGCCCCTAAAGGTTCCTATTTAACCTTTTGAGTATCTGTTGTCAATGTGATCCCATGTAGATAGTTCTTAAGAGAGCATAATACTCAGGGCAGGCATTCACTAGTTGATTTAAAATCAACTTACTTTGACTTTAAAAAGGATTCAGGGGATATTTCTGGTTTAAGCTTTATAAATTATCTCAGTGCAATGGTTTTAGGAGTTTACCATTTCCAAGGCTCTAAAGCAGTGGTTCTCAACCTTTCTAATGCCGCAACCCTTTAATACAGTTCCTCATTATGTGATGACCCCCTCCAACCATAGAATTATTTTTGTTGCTACTTCATAACTATCATTTTGCTACTGCTATGAATTGGGCGACCCCTGTGAAAGGATCGTCCGACCACCAAAGGGGTAGGGACCCACAGGTTGAGAACCGCTGCTGTACAGTGTCCTGATCCCATAAAAATTTGAAATTGTTTCGTATTTTATTCTTTTGATCAGGATTCTTCTATATTCTTTAATCAAAGTATTTAGTAATAGTAGCCAAACACCACCTAGTTCTGGTCTCTTGGCAGTCTCAACAATTTAATTTGTTTAAAAAAACTAAAAAAACAATTTAATTTATTATGTTTTATAATGATCTCATACTCTTAAGATATTTATGAAGTTCTATTTAAATGTGAAGATGTGGCTATTTAGTTTCAAAATATCTCACCAGAGATTATTAATTACAAATAGAAAAACATTATAATGAAGAATAATCTAGCAAACATTAAAATATGGCTCCCAATAAGATATACTAGGGTTATAATATCACTTCCCTATTATTCTTATAAAAAATGCATACTCTAAATCAAATTATCAGACAGACCCAACATGAGGAACACTCTATAAAATAGCTGGCCTACTGGAGATCCCCTTGCAGAGGGGTCTCGGGGAGGAGACGAGCCAGTCAGGGTGTGATGTAGCAACGATGGAAAATACAACTTTCTGCTGGTTCCCAAATGCTTCCTCCCTGCCCCCACTATCATGATCCGAATTCTACCTTGCAAGTCTGGCTACACCAGGGGATGTACACTGGTACAGATAGGAACTGGAAACACAGGAAATCCAGGGCGGATGATCCCTTCAGGACCAGTGGTGTGAGTGGCGATACTGGGAGGGTAGAGGGAGAGTGGGTTGGAAAGAGGGAACAGATTACAAGGAACTATATGTGACCTCCTCCCTGGGAGATGGACAACAGAAAAGTGGGTGAAGGGAGACATCGGACAGGGCAAGATATGACAAAATAATAATTTATAAATTATCAAGGGCTCATGAGGGAGGAGGGAGCGGGGAGGGAGGGGGAAAATGAGGACCTGATACTGGGGGCTTAAGTGGAGAGCAAATGTTTTGAGAATGATGATGGCAACAAATGTACAAATGTGCTTTATACAATTGATGTATGTATGGATTGTAATAAGAGTTGTATGAGCCCCTAATAAAATGATTTTTTAAAAAAAAATAGCTGGCCTATCCAAAAATGTCAAAAAACACAAACAAACAGTTCTAAATTAAAGATATTAAAAAAACATAATGATAATATCACAATGTGAGCCTGAATGGGGGAAGAGTGAATGCATTTCTATAAAATACATTACTTGAGATAAATTTTTAAAATTCTGAAAACTGATTGTCTATTGCATAATTATACATGGGCTAAATTATCCAAATTTGAATCAGTATATATAAGACGTTCTTATGGTTAGAAGTATTGAGAGGTCAAGGACTAAAATATCCATAACTTGCTTTCAAAAGAATTTTTTAAAATACCAATAATACCTAAATCTATATTTGGCTGAACAATACCAAATTCTCAGTGTGCTACCAGTTTTGATTTACAGAAATATCAACTTAATCTGATTCGACCTATAATATATAGAGGGTGCACCACCACCCAAAAAAAATGATGCTCATTTGTTTTTTGATATGAGGGGCATAGTGCATTTGGAGTCCCTTCAACCAGGTCAGACTGTTAATCAAAATTTCTATTTATAGGTTCTGAAAAGATCGTGTAACAGTGTATGACAAAAAAGGCCTGATTTGTGGCAGACGGGAGACTAGTTTTGCTACCATGACAATGCCCTCCCCCCGCAGCCATCTCAGTGCTCCAGTTTTAGGCAATAAAACAGCATGCCTCTCTTGCCCTATGCACCTTACTCATCTGACCTCCTTCTGTGTGATGTCTTTTTGTTTCCTCAATGAAGAAGAACAGAAGAGACAGCAATTTGATGATGTAGAAGAGGTGAAGAAAAAAATGAGGGAGGTACTGTCAGCCACCCAAATAGATGAGTTTGAAAAATGTTTCCAAGATTTGACAAATGTATTAAGTATAATGGAGAGTACTTTGAAGGTGATAAAGTTGTTTTGTAAAAAAATTTAAATACAGTACATAGCTTTAGGAGGGAATGGGTGGGGGAAATTCTGGGTTTTTAGGGGCTACCCCCTCATTTGGTGATAAGCCAAATATGCAAAATGTTAACAGTGGATGTATCAAAGTTCAAGATACAGAGAACTTTATCATACTATTCTTCCAACTTTTCTGAAAGCATTAAATAATTCCAAAAATAAATTGGGGGGGGGGAAATTACTGACACAGATGCAATTATTGAAGCCAACAGACTAGGAATACATATTTAAAAAACCCAAACTCATTGCCATCAAGTTGATTCCAACTCACAGAGCCGCTACAGAACTGTCCCTATGGGTTTCTGAAACTCTTTACAGAAATCAAAAGCCTCATCTTTCTCCTGAGGAGCAGCTGATGAGTTTGAACCGATGACCTTGGGGTTAGCGGCCCAATGGGTAGCCACTAGACCACCAGAGCTCCAGGAATGCATACAGCAGAAAGAAAAAATTTTAAAGTCTAAGTCTTGAAAGCTGCTCAAACTTACGGACAATAAGAAACAAAAATAATGAAGATGAAACAAAAACAAAGAAGATAATTTCTACCTGGGAAGGAATAAAAAACTAGAGCAAGTCAGTGAAGTTTAATGTAACAAAAATGCTGAAAGGGAGAAAAAAGAACCAAAGACCAAAGAAACGGCCTTCCTTCTTTTATTCCCAGATGAGTAAAAGTGACTACATCACTCAAAGTTTTCGCCAACTGTCAGCTTTCACATATAGCTCTACAGCAGTGGTTTTCCACCTTCCTAATGCCGCGACCCTTTAATACAGCTCCTCATGGTGTGGTGACCCCCAACCATAAAATGATTTTAGTTGCTATTTCATAACTGTAATTTTGCTACTGTTATGAATCAGGCGACCCCTGTGAAAGGGTCATTAGAACCCCAAAAGGGGTTGCTACCCACATGTTTTGAGCCGCTGCTTTACAATCTAAGTCACCAGCCTAGGCTTTCCCTGAGGAGAAAAAAAGTAATCATAATTTCCACAGATTTAGAAACTTACTTTCTGATACAGAGTTGAGGGCTAAGATGGGCACGGAGGCAATGACGGCCAGCATGTCTGCAAAATAAGAGATTCAAAGGTCAATACACACTTACAGATCAGGGTCAGTATATCAGAGTCTCTTATTTTGGTAATTGGAGCTATTGTTGTAGCTGTAATGAAGTTGACCACAACTCACTGTACCCCATGCAAAACAGACTGTGCTCAGTCCTGTTTCATCGTCTCTGGTTGTAGATGGAGCCACTGGGATCCATAGCATTTTCATTGGCCGACTTTCAGAAGTGGATCAAGTCTTTCTTCTTAGCATATCTTAAAGTCTGGAAGCTCCACTGAAACCTTTGCACCATCATAGCAACATGCAGGCCTCTACTGACAGGTAGAAGATCCATAGGAGGTGCCCTGGCTAGGAATCGGACTTAGGTCTCCTACATGTAAGGTGAGCATTCTACCAATGAACCACCAATGCTCTTAAGGTAGAGAGGCAGATTATTTTTAAAAAGACTATCAAGGACCTTGATATTATTTCCAAGTTGTAATACTATGACATTGAATAATTTCAGAATAATCAAAAACAAAAGAGAACTGTAGAAAGTGATATTTTTAGAGCTATGTCTTAAAAGAGTTCATGATTAAAGACTTGGGTTTAAAAAAGAAGAAGAAGCTATTAGCAACAGCAAGCACATAAAGGGGCTTCAAAAAATTCACTGGAAAACTCCACAATCTTTTAATTGCATTTTTCTAAGAACTTTCTGAAGCCCCCTTGTGTAGCTTCACTATAGCAGAGGTCTCCTGCAAATGGATGAATTTAAAATGTTAAAAAAACAAAATGAGAAAGACAGAGAGAGGGGAAAGTTTTATCACCCACATGAAAAGATACCTAACGAGAATAGTTTTCTACTAAAAGTTGCTAGTTTTTGAAATAAACACATCAGTATTAGAACTGATTTTCACATTAAAAAAAAGATATACACAGGCATTCTACTTAAGAACTAAATTGCCGGGGACAACACCAGTGACACAGTGTGGGAATTGCACCCGATCTGATCCCGCCACACTGAGGCAAAGCA